AATACACTCTCAATGGTACAAAATATAGTCTCATTAGTACTTCAAAAAGCTCCACTGGAGTTTTAGTGAAACAAAATATAAACTCAGTGGTAGTGGTCCCTAAAATTTTTTTGTCCATTTTTGCACGTGATATGTGTCTGAAAAGCTTTAGTGAGGCCCACACCATCTTTTTCACTCTTCCTATCTCTCTCCTCCTTTCTCCCTCTTCCTTACACTTTAATATTATTTTAATAGTTGTGAGACATTTTCAATTGTCTCACATCTCTTGATTTATACTTCCTCGAAAAAATGAGAGATTTTAGCCAAGTAGCGCCACTTTTGGAAAGGATGGCTAGGATAATATATTAATATCCGAATCAAAAGCTTTAAAGTGTGTTTGGAATGAAATTGTGGGTTCAAGAACAGGGCACCAAAATCCTTGGTATCGATAAGTAGGATAAGAACCAAGCCATAATTTTGTAGGGAGGGTGAATTGTAGTTGTTTTAGTTTATACTCCTCATCAATGTCCTCTAAATAGGAGTTTGATTTTGGGCTACTTGACATGGGTATAGCTTATAGCGTTATAGGCCTTTGATTAAGAGTTCACAAGGTTATAAGTCTTACAAGGTCGGTCCTAGTCTTTTATATATAGGAAGTATACATTAATAGAGATATTTCCAATCATTTTTATTTATTTATTTATTTATTTAAGGTAATAAAGAGGAGTTTTAAAAGAAGTATTTTTATGTATTTGTTAGTACATATCAAGGAAGAAATTGTAGCTTAGTACTCCCTCCATCTCATAATAAAGTTTTTGTTTGTATTTTTTCACAGTATTTAAAAAATAGGAGGAGAAAGTGGATAAATTACTGATAGAGTATATAACATATTTTTGGGGCTCAACCATCAGTTTAAACTTTTGGTTGAGATGGTCCTTCAACATGGTATCGGAGCCAACGTGACATAGAGGTCACGGGTTCGAATCTCATCCACCCCTCCTATAAAGTGGAATTAATTCGTGCTGGGTATGAGAGGGCCTGTGCTGCATCCACATTGCAAGCCCAAAAGGCCTTTCATGTGAGGGGGAGTGATAGAGTATGTAACATATTCCTGGGCCTCAACCATCAGTTTAATCTTTTGGTTGAGATGGTCCTTCAACAATTACATTAAAAAAGTAAAAAGTACAATTAAAAACAAAAGTTAGACAGAGAAAGTGGTAAAAAGTAAAAGACATACTTCCTCCATTTTTCTTTTATTGCACCATAAGGACTTTTACACTATTCACTTAATTTCTTTGACCATCATTTGTGATTTATCCATTAGAAAAAACATAGTCATGTGGGATCTAGTTAGATTCGTCTCGAAATTTACTTTTCAAATATCAAATTTTTATAATTTTTACAAAAGTAAAATTGGAGATATTAATATCTCAAGTAATGCATTGGGAGGTGTGAAATCCCTCATGGTGCAATAAAAAAAGAACGGAGGATGTATGTAAATTTAAGGGGTAAATTAAGAAGTACAATGAAAAAAGTAAAAAAAGTGAAGGTATAATGGTCTTTACACATTATCCAAAGAGAGAAAGAGGAACAACATTTTGGATCTCCAAAATAGGAAAACAGAAACTATATTATGGGACGGAGGAAGTATAATAATAAGGGGGTGTTTGATTCAAAGAGTGGTATAGGTTTGGAATCAGGAATGGAGTTAAAGTGGCCACATATCATCATTCGATTTTCAGGTTTTAGTTGTACCACTATAGTCATTTTGGTACCATGCATTACAATCAATTACTATATCATTACACTACCAATGACACGATTCCACAACCTAGTGGTATATATATTAGCTTCAAAAGAATATCATTGTAATAATCGTTATTACTATTATAACCATATATAGTACCTATTCTACCATCAATGGTACATTTTACATATTAGCGGTATCAATGTTAGTTTTTAAAATATTTACAAATTGACCATGTTAAATCAACACTTTATCATAGACACAATCATAATTGATATCATATATCCAATAGAGAATATCATCCAGTCATGATATCATATAGCCAATAAGAGGATATATGTGTGAACACACTCGTTCTATGTCTATCTCGATTTATTATGGGAAATTACATGCTTTGTGGCTAGAATTAGATCACCATGAGCCACTTATTTCTTGTTCTTGTTGTTCGAAGTGTATTGCGTGTCAATTGCATGAAGCTAGGCGAGAACAATCCAAATTGTATGATTTTTTGATGGGATTATATTATGATTTTTTATGCCTCGTTACACACTAATATTTTGTCTCAAGATCCCCATCCTAGCCTAGACCATGCCTATCAATTGGTAGTGTAAGACGAATGGGTTCGTATAGCAAAGCAGGAAGCCAAATCAAAGCCTGCTGAGGCCCTTGGGTTCGTTGTTCAAACAACAGCAGGGCGTGGGTATAAGGAGACTGATTGTGGTCGTGAGGGGTATGGAACCGTGTGTGCTAAATGCAAAAAGGAAGGTCATGAAACCTCGAATTTTTGGTCGGATAAAACTTGCAATTAATGCAAAAAGAAAGGTCACGTGGAGGCTAAATGTTTCGGGCTTCATTGGTAAACCCCCTCCGAGAGATGGTAGCCAGGGGGAAAATCCTCGGCTGGCCGTGGTCAAGGCATAGTGCGTGCCAATGCTGTTGCATCTAGTGAAGTCTCTTCTTCTCATGGTCAAGTATTCTCTATCGAACAATGGAAAGCTATTACGGGATTGTTTGGTAATGCAAAGATTTCTGAAACCCGATTGAATGGTAAGTTTGATGCTACTTCATGAATTATTGACACAGGAGCAACGCATCATGTTACCGGTGAAAAATCTTGGATATTTGATACTAAGAGTTTCGAATGCCATGTCGGTTTGCCTAATGGTCAAACTGTGGTAGCTTCTTTGGTTGGTTCGGTCCAACAGATTTTAACCCAAAATTTACATTAATTTTAATATTCAAAAACAAAACTCAAAAGTAGAGCTTTTCCTCAAAAAAAAAAGTTCAAAATTGGAGCTAGATGTACAAGTATAATGATTAACAGTAAGCTAATATCATACTCAAGCTCATCTCATTCTTCATTAAGCTCATCCATCACGAATCTTCTTCATCTGGCTCATGATCAAGAACATATTTTATCCACAAATCTCGCATTTCATCAATGTCTTCCGAAGAATATGTACAAATCGAGGGAAAGACCTGCAACATACAACATATGCCATCAAATATGAGTATAATTTATTTATTTATTTTTGACGGAAATCAAAGAGATATTTATCCAAATGCCGAAAATCAGACATAACAAAGCACATTCATGAACATCCTCAATCCACAACCTTAGCTCACTTTTTTTTTTAACAAGAAAAGGAAATATATTACAACTTAGATGTTAAAACATCTAGTAGATCAGAGTTTGTGAAGCAGGAAGGTGAAGGACATGGGTGATGAAGCTGAGACTAGAACTAATACTGGTACTGATGGCCCACCAGGCTTAGAAAAGGTCAAAGCACAAGGTCAGCACGGAAAAGATTAGTTTTCTGAGTGTATCAACCTGATTACAGGTTATGGACACTGTGAACAGGCCATCTTGAGCATCAGTCAGGTTGGCAACAGGAAAGGTAACATCAGGTGGAGTTGAGCTAGGGAATGCAGGGATAACATTGGCTTACATGAAGGCTAAGTGCTCACTAAGAAAATTAGTGATGTTAATTAGGTTTCACTATGTTTCTGTTAGATATATTTCTAGTAGGGGGTAGCTTCCCTTTTTCCAGCTGTAAAAAAAAAACAAAATAAGTTTGCTTACTAGTATGATTTACAAACCAATGCAGCCTCAAAGGAAGAAGAGTGCCTCAAAGTGGATTTCTCACTCTAATGGTTTAATTAAGGTGAATGTGGATGCTTGCCTAGCTAATAAAGGTTGGGTGGGGCTCAGTGTGGTGGCAAGGGATCATAGAGGGGAGGTTCTCTTCTCCGCTGTCATACGAGTGAGAGCTCAATGGCCTGCAGAAATGGCAGAAGGCAGAGCATTGTTATTTGCCATTAAGCTTGCAAGGAGACTCGGGTATCAGGACTTGCTGCTTGAATCAGTTTGCCAGGTGCTGATAAATAGGCTATCAAAGCTGAAAATTACAGTCTTAATTTTCATGGAGTAGCATAATCTAAATTATATGCCAACCTGACTGATGCTGATAAATAGGATCAGAACTCCAATGTCAAATTTCATTCCTAATTTAATTTCAAGACTGATTCAAAAATGAAAAGTAGACCTGACAATTAGAACTACAATCAGAACTACAGATCAGAATATACAAACCTTATAGCGGGCTATTATAGATTGCATAAGCTGGTTATTTTTGGTGGTTAATATGATTAAGTTGCATGCAGACTGCAGAGTTACATTCACAAGTCCCAGTTGGTTAGAGAAACAGACAGAGAGAGTTACATTCACATTTCAGACAGTTGGTTTCACAGTTCAGAGTTACATTCACAGTTGGTTTCACAATTCAGAGTTGGTTTCACAGTTTAGAGTTACATTCACAGTTCAGATAGTGGTTCAGACATGCAGACAGTTGGTTAGAGCTGAGGACAGTTTATACCAATTTAAATGACATATATTTATAATATACCTGCTCGGAAACCCATAACACTCTTTTCTGCACAATATCTAGCATATATCGACAAACAAAGTATCCACAATACTTGGTGTATGCTGGTTGACGAGGACACTATGATAATGCAAACAATTAATCATTAACAAGATATTAGATTTTAGGATTAAACTGCATAATATCAACTGCTGTAACAGTTTAGATAACTTACTTGTGGTTGCTCCCACTTAATATATGCATTCTTTTTTATTTTCTTGATGTCCTTTCGATGGACCGAGCTGAATTATTTGATTCCTCTACATAATTACATGAAGATAGGAAAATTGTAATAGTTTCCAAATACACAGTAAGAACAAAATAAGAAGTTAATGACACAGTTATTGCAATTATACATACTCAGTGATGATCTTTTCAGCGAATGAGTTGATTTTATTTTCTGCTCCAAGTGGATCTAGCCAATACACCAATCCATTCCACTGACTAATAACAGCTAACGTCCAATGCATACTAAACCAGCAGCAAGACACTTTTAGAAGGAAGAATAGATAAGAAAAACAACAAAATGTAAAAGGGGGCAGAAACTGTTTAACATAGCAATATTGCCATGACTTTCTTTACTTTAAGAAGAATTTATTAGTAAAAATAGCATAACATAGCAATATGGAAGCAATCAGGTTAGCAAAATTGAAATTACATATATTAAAGCATAAATAATGAACAAGAATACCAATCAAAGTTACATAATTACATAACAAAGGAACTATACTTACTTGTCATTAAAAGGAGCAAAGAATAGCTGATTATAGTTCTTCCCCTCATTGCACCCAAAAACACGAGCTAAATAGGTAGATCGAACTTGGTCGTTTGTCGTTGGTGTCAAAGGCGATAGAACATTTGAGTCACAAAACCCATACATTCCCGAGATACCTTCTTTGTGACAATGTTCTTTCAAGATCCTTATCCCATCAAAAGTTGTAAATATATTAGAGAATGGACCAAAAATATTCCACATTGTAATTGGAAACTAAATTGGAGGTGAACTTACTTCATGAATATATTCATTTGCGATTCTCCAACCTCCCTTTGGAAACACCAATCAAGCAAGTCTTCGTAATCAAGTGAAACATTTAACCCATTTTCATTAAGAAACATGTTCTCTGGAATACTGATAGAGATGGTATCGCCGGTCTTTTGTATCCCCATAGCTTTTTTTCTCATAACACGCATCAAAGTAGATGTCACCTTCTCACGATCCTTGTCGGTAATAACATACTTACGAGTTGTTGATGCGTGGGAGGATGTAGATTGTGGGGATGGTGTGGGCACATCAACTTCTTTATCTGATTGGTTGTTCGCCTTTATAATATGTTTTCACATGAAAAATAAAACAAGACTATCATAAAAAATGCAAGGAACAACACACCGAAAACTAAGAGGGGATAGGAACCCCAAAACCTAGCTGCTGCCGCTGTAGGTAGGGCTGCTGCCGTTGCAGGCAGGGCTGCTGTCGCTGCCACAGTAGCCAGTAGCTTAAAGAAAAAAATATGAAGAAGCATAAAGACAGTATCAGACAGCAGCTTAAAAACAAGGAAGAATACTACCTTTTTGTGGAAAATCAAATGATTAGGCCAAGCTGTATAAGATCTCTTAGCATGACATACAAAAAGCAATTCATTGTTTGGGCATGGCAGAGGAGCTGTTGGCAAAATATCTTCAGTAATTGTGACTCGACAATGACCAGGGGGCAATGTAATACCCCGTATTTTTATGTATTTTTATAAAGTATTTAAGTATTAATAAAATGTATTGTCAAGGGCTCAAGTATTTTAGTTAAATATTTTAAAGGGTTAAAGTATTTTAAATATAAAGTTTTATAAAAGTAAAATATGTTTTGGGCCAAACGTTTATTAATTATTGGGTAATGTAAATTATTCCTACATACTCTTATTGGAATAACCCATTCCAAAACCCATAACTTATGCCCTATCCCATAACTCAAGCCCACATTTTTATAAGCCCAAATTTAACCCTACACTCTCTACTCTATAAATACCCCATGAATCCCCAAAAATTTCCCACACAAAAAGGTTAGTCTTATTTTCTCTCTCCTTTGTTTTATTAATTTGTGTAATTATAATTATTGATTTATGGGTTTTGATTTTATTGTTTGAAATTAATTTAATTAGTATCAAATTTTCAGATTTTGTAAATTTTATAACCTAGGGTTTTTAATTATTGAAAATCATGATTTTAGGGTTTTTATGAATAATTTATTTAGGGCTTTTATAGTAATGATGTTTTGAAATTTTGGTGATTATAACTACTTATTAGTTTAACTTAATTCCAGATTATTTTGAACACGTAAATTCATGTTTTAATTATTAGATTTCCGTTCGTTAATATAACCCCGTTTTAATCCCGATCAGGTTCGGAACTCCTCCGATTTTGATAAAAAAAGTAGTGTTATTCGTGTGGAAATAACGTTTTAAGAAAGACTCACTACCTTTGGTTTTGAACACCACCCTCTCGTGACCAAATTCAGCCTCTAAATATGATTTTCGGGCAGTTTTTTTATTTTTAACGAAGTTTTTTTTTTTATGCTTTAAATTTTATCCTTGAGTTTAAAAGGGGTAAGAGATAATTTAATGTTTCTATGGATAATTTAAGTATAAAGATGTATTTTGATGAAGTTTTAAGGGATTTTTGATTAGTTTAAAATGTTGGAATTTTATTTAAAGTAGTATAATTGTGATTTTTAATAAAAGGGTGTGATTATCCATTAGAAAGGAGTTTAATTAGGGGTTTTTAAATAATTTTCAGATTATTATAAGTTATTTAAAGTGAGTTTAAGTTGCTGGAAATTGTGTATACAAGGGTAATTAATATAGTATTATTCTCCCTTTATGTAGGAGACTTGGTTCGAGAATTGTTGTGGAGTACTCGGTTATTTTAAGAGCTTATTTGAGGTACGTTCGCGTACTTAGCATATTTTGATGATGTAGAATCATGCTAGGCTTGATTTCAATCAATTACAAGTAGTATCATGCTAAGGTTTATGTATGGAATTGTGAATTAATGATGTTGGTGATTGAATTGTGAAGCATGAATTATTTGTGATGGTTTATGGATTGGAAAATTATATTTTGGGCATGTTGTGTTTGAACCACACTTTTATTTATGGCATGTTAGAATGCATGATTAACTAAACTACATGTTTAATTATGTTTGGAATATGGAAAAGGAATTTTATTACGGTTCAAATAATTTTTATTGATGCTTTAAGCATGATGAAGGAGCTATATAAGTGTCTATGTACACAAGGGATAAATTGTATGTTGGTGCCTTTGTGCACTTAAGGTGTTTTTAACACCGAGGGATAGGATTTTTGGCGCTTTATGCGTTTAAGGTGTCTTTGACACTGAGATAGAATTAAAAAGGGTTCAACATTAAATAATATGTGGTCACTAATTATTCAAGGATTAAACTGGTATGTTTGGTTAATTGAATAATTATGGTTGATTGATTTATTATGCTTTGAGAGTCATCACCAAGTCCAATAACATATAAATAACGTAAAGTGAAAGAGATTACGTACCAAAACTCTTGGAACGTATATACCTTGAGTATGAACAATGAGGGGAGTTATGGGGTTTTATATTTAACCATAACTTCTAATGGAGTACAGGACGCTGTACATTCCTTTTTATTTATTATTATGTGCAGGAATTCCGCCACCTTTGAGTGGTTTTGTCGCTGGCACGGTTAGCTCCCGTGTCAATTAACCTCAATTTATTTGGGGAAGGTATAGTTGGAAACCCGTTCGATGCGTAATCAACGCTAAATGAATTATTTAGTGTCTAGTTAATGTGTCTTGTTTATTGTTGTGTGTGCTTGTAAACAGGTGCAATGAGGTAAATATGTGTTGATAGGTGAAAGCATGTTAGTGTGTTTAATTACGCTTATGTACTCAGCTTTGCTGATTGTGTGTGTTTGTGTGTTTGTCCATGTCTTTACTTTGGCCCTACGACGACCCATTTTCTAATGGCGAGTAGTGGGGACCAGTAGAGAGGAGGTTTTCAGGTGATGAAGCATATTCATGAATGGGCATGAGTGAAGAGCGAATCATGCTAGTTTCTATAAGTATATGATGTATTTAATGCTTTAATTATTTATGATATTATTATCATGCATGACTAAAGCAAAAGTTTTAAAGTTGGTTTGGTTTTAATAAGGGCCTACAATGGTTCCAAGTTGTAGGATGGTTTTATTTTACTTCGTTTGACTTTGGTTTTGACTTTACTTTCGTTGGTTGACTTTTCAAGTTGACTTGTTTTGAATGGTTTTGAAATTAGTTTTCCGCTGTGTGTCTTTGATGGTTGCCTTAGCCGTTTTTACGGTGGCGGTAATATCTTAGATATTCCTATTTAAATTTTTAAACAGGGCAAAATAGATATTTTAAAAGAAAAGAATTTCTAGGGTGTTACAAAGTGGTATCAGAGCTTTGGTTGAGATTTTATTTCCACTAAAGCAAAAAAAAAAGTATTTTAAAGTGTTTTGTTTTAAAACTTGGCCAAGTGCTTATTTAATTAAACGGTGTTAAACTAAATTGTTTTGAATTTTATTTTTGTTTTTATTTTAGGAATGACCATTTTTTTTATGAAGAACATCCAATTTTTTTTTTATTAAGGATGTCCGATTTTTTTTAAGAAAGCCGAAATTTTTTCGGTCTTTTTCAAAGCTTATTTTTTAATTTCTTTAAAAAAAAAAAAAAAAAAAAAAAGGAGTCAAAAATATTTTTAGTTTGTTCATGTTGCAGGAAAGCAAGGATTGAGGTAAGAAATATGTGTTAAAAGCTTTTATAAGCATGTTGGTGAGCTTGGGTAGGAGAAGAAAGGGCATATAGGCTAGAATTTAATTTATTTCCTATGTGCAAATATATATATTTTTTAGAGGTGTTCAAGCATGTTGTATGACTAAATGTTTCTTGATGACAACATGTAATATGTGAATCATTATATGTGAGCTATCAAGATTGTTTGATTGAACATCGAACTTAATTTTCCTGCAAGAACTGTATTATATGGTTATGGGAAGGGTTTGCTATTAGTTGTTAATCCCGTTTTCTTGTAGGATCCCTAAACCTATACCCTGTGAGTTTCTATGATGAGAATTTTGAGGAATGTTAAGGATTTTGAGAGTTCAATTGCTTATGTTAGGATGGTTCGCTTCAATGGTCTTATTTGAGATGTATTTTCGAAAAAAATTTGGATGCACATCATCACATGAATGTGAGTATTATTTTTGGGATAATTTGTTGTTAAGATACGTTGTCTAGATATTAAAAATGAGTAATTTGAGTTTTGTACACTTGTGTATGGAGACACCAAGTTATAAGGATAAAGAGATTAATTTTAATGCATATGGTTAAGGAGCTTAAGGATGAAATCGTTTGGGATATTATCTATTTTGAGGAATATGTTTTGTCTTTGAGTATGAGTTTGAATTGGAATCGAAATTGAACAAGAGCCCAAGAGAGGTGAGCATAAGAATTGATTAGAGATGAGTAATGATGAAAGTTATTATATGAGTTGAGGGATACTCAATGCGGATCAATTGAAGTTTGACATTTTAAACTTAGTGACTTATCATTTCTTATGATTAAAGTTATTTAATTTGGGATGGAGAATTGAGCATATATATTTTAATATATGGTTGGAGTTTTGAGAAGTTATGATCTTGTTGGAATATTGAGGACTCTTGTTATGTTGGACCTTAAATACTTTGTCACATGTTCAACCTTGAGAATATTGACATATGTTATTTAGGAGTTATGAGTATTTATTCTTTCACTTGGGATATGAGGATAATTATTTTACTTCAAGGAGTCATTATGGGTAGCAATGCTATCATTTTGGAGAAAATTCTTGAATTTATTCACCTAATCATTTAGAGTTGTTCAACAACCTTATGATTTCTATTGTTTTCCAAGTGCTACTCATTTCTTTCTTCCCTTTGTGAGTAGCAGTTAATGGGGATATTTTTTTTTATTTTTTATTTTTGATTGTTTGTTTAAGTATATGAATTTTGGTTGTTTATCAATCAAGATTTTATGTATTCGAATTATTGGGAATGAGGACATAAAAAATTTATACCTCAAACCTTAATTTGAATTAAATGTTAATTGTTTCTTGATTGAGTTTTGT